TACAAGAGCAGCATGGCAAATAATGAATGGTATTTTGAAAAATCATGAAGTAAAATCAGGCACTCCACAGTATTTTGTAAAAGATGGAATTGAAATTCGTGATCAGAATGAAATTACAAATGGATTCAATCATTATTTTGTGAATGTTGGCCCAAGTCTTGCATCTAAAATACCTAAAGTAGATAGAAATGTTAAACACACTGTCACTGGTTGTGTAAATAGTTTATTTCTTTATGAAACTGATGAAGAAATAACAAATATTGTAAAAAAAATCTTGCAGACAAGAGATCAAGAGACTGGGTTGACATGGACATGACGTTTGTAAAAGACATAATGAATTCTGTGATTGAACTGTTTACATACATCTGTAATTTATCATTTTCAACTGGTAATTTTTCCAAACAACATGAAAATAGCAAAGGTAATTCCTCTTTTTAAAAATGGTGAAAGACGTGTGTTTAACAACTACAGACCAATATCCCTGTTACCACAATTTTCAAAGATTTTAGAGAAATTATTTGTGATTAGATTGGACAAATTCATTGATAGGCAGAATATATTAAGTAACAGTCAGTATGGGTTTAGACCAAAAAATTCTACATTGATGGCTCTCATTGAATTAATAGAACATATAACAACTGCCGTTGATCAAAAACAGTACTGTGTCAGTATTTTTGTTGATTTTAAAAAAAGCGTTTGATACTATTAACCATAGTATTCTTTTTGAAACGTTAAATAAATATGGTATTAGAGGACCTGCATTACAGTGGGTATCTAGCTATTTGGAAAATAGAAAACAATTTGTAGAAATAAATAATGTAAGGTCTGAGTTTTTGTAACATCTCATGTGGAGTGCCTCAGGGTTCCATTCTCGGACCAAAGTTATTTATTTTGTATGTGAACGATTTGGTAAATGTATCAGATCTTTTGGGGTGTGTTCTATTTGCAGATGATACAACCTTCTTATGCTTCTTATGCTATGACACGTGGAAGTACACTTTAYAACTTGTGAAAATGCTCTAAGTAGGAGAGCAAAAGTTTGACAGACAAACAGACTGCACACAAAGGCTGCGGTGCGCAGCGTTTGTGGAGACTCTCCAACATCACGTCACATCATGTGAACTCTACTGAGATGCAGAGACTCGTTTCTTCATATCAGCTATGAAATAAACTAAGATCTATGTTCTACCAAACATTTAAG